CTAGAGGCTAGATTTTTTGTGATAATGATAATAATTCTGTACAACATGTTCTCCATGTTCCATAAGTTAAGTAAGAAAATGTAAGTAAGTAAGGAAATGGTGCAAATAATACTAAATATGCTTATTAGAACAGTCTTGCATTGTAGATGGTTGGACTAGATGGCCTTTCCAACTCCAACAATTGTATGTGATTCTGTGACTGAGGAGTGCAGTTCTCAGGATGAGCAATGCAAGTGCAATGTTAGTTGGAGCTTAGCAGTGTGAATTACTATTACAAGGTGTGAAGCTAGGAGTGCTAAATAAAAAAAATATTGTTATGCTGTGGACTACAGCTCCAACTCTCCTTTTTCTCGTTCCTTAATTTCTCTAGAGGTCTGTCTGTTGATAAAGTAAGGCAAGGAAAAAGAGGCGGTGGCGCATTGGGGATAACATGTCTACGAGTGAGAAAATTAAGCAGGTGGTTCCTGGTGTTACTTTTTGTGTGATTGTGTGTGCATTATCCTTGAAATAAAATGTTGGGAAGCAGTTAATACATAAATCAGGAAACTGATTTGGGGAATGAACTTAATGGTGTTCATCTGCGAAACTTTTCAGATAGAGATGTTGTTCCCTCATTACTCTTTAACAAAGAAATGGCTTTTCATATCTACTTTGCAAAATTACAAACTTTAGTTGACAGGGTGTGCACCAACCACGAGATTCTGTTTGGACTCCAACTAGGTGCTTCAGAAAACAGACCAGTCTCAAGCACTTTGGAGGCGATCTGATTTGGAAAAACAAATCTATTATGGGTAGGGCTGGGAGATAGCTGGTTTTCAGCATCATGATATATCGCCAGCTAAACATCGCCATATACCAATATATCAAGATGTCTGAAATAAGGATGGAGCTATAGAGAGGGATTGGCTGGCTTCATGGTTTTTCCTGCGTTGAGATTTTTGCCAGCGGCTGCTCTTGTGATTCGCTTCCCCTTGCAGGAGGCAGGGGAGAGCTGAGCCAGCAGAGTTAATATTGGTGCAGGAATTGAGAGAAGCATTGGTTGGCTTCACGTTTTTACCCACATTGTGATTTTTGCATAGCACACAAACATACATACATTGTGATTCGCAATATATTGCCAGATCAAAAATTCATGATATGGACTTTGAACCAGTTTGGGAGGATATATTGCCCAGCCCTACCTGTCAGTTACACAAGAGCTATTCCTTCCTCTTTTCCCCATTCTGGAGTCTTCCCTTGCTTAGGGAGCAATGTTTCTTTTTGCAGACGCACTTCACAATCTGAATGCCCAAAGTGCCACCAGTGAGAAATTGCTTTGTCTCTGACAAGTCCTGAATCTGTTCAGAGCAGCTTGCTTTGGTTATTGATTTTGGATTTTTTTCCAAATCTAATGCACATACTTAGTTAGCAGTTTTTAATATCTATTTTGCCACTACTGTTTGTGTCTCTCTAATTGTAGCTTCTGGCCTATCATTACTTCTTGGGATCAGAGTTTAGGTAAAGACTCTAAAGTTGGATTTGTCAGACTAAAGTCCATAGTCCTACAGTGTTTACAAGTAATCAAGACTAATTCTCCAGCAGTTTCAGTAGCATGAATCTGGTTGATTTAAATCACCAAGGGGTAAAAAAAAAATTCCACACACTAAAATAATTCCTAAACATTCAGATTGCTATAATGATAGAAACATAGTGACAATGCAGTGCTAACTCTGAGCCAATTGTAGAGATCAGGTAGTTGCTAAGCATAATAGACATAGAAAGTCACCCAGATGGCTCAGTGGATAAAACCCATGGCGACCTGCCAGTCCTTGACTCCCAGTGCCCAGCTATAATATAAGCACATGGGTTAATGTGCAGTGACGACAGGCAAGGATGTTTCCCCCAACTGTGTTACAAAGAGAAGCAGCGTGAAAGCAGCTGTTTGCACGAATATAATCAGTTCAGTTTTACATGTTTGCATTAAGTTGATATTTGATTTAAAGCCAGGTTATCTCAAAGTGATGCCAATGATAACTGAAATGTGTTTTTTTAATCTCATTTTTAATAGTTCAAGGAATTAACAATTTTTATCCCTCCTGGTGGGAACTCAGTGACTTAACCATACAGTGGTACCTCTGGTTAAGAACTTACCGTATTTTTTGCTCTATAAGACTCACTTTTCCCCTCCTAAAAAGTAAGGGGAAATGTGTGTGCGTCTTATGGAGCGAATGCAGGCTGTGCAGCTATCCCAGAAGCCAGAACAGCAAGAGGGATTGCTGCTTTCACTGCGTAGCGATCCCTCTTGCTGTTCTGGCTTCTGGGATTCAGAATATTTTTTTTCTTGTTTTCCTCCTCCAAAAACTAGGTGCTTCTTGTGGTCTGGTGCGTCTTATGGAGCGAAAAATACGGTAATTCGTTCTGGAAGTCTGTTCTTAACCTGAAACCGTTCTTAACCTGAAGTAGCACTTTAGCTAATGGGGCCTGCCGCTGCACCGCTGCTGCACGATTTCTGTTCTCACCCTGAAGCAAAGTTTTTAACCCGAGGTACAATTTTGAGGTTAGCGGAGTCTGTAACCTGAAGCATCTGTAACCTGAAGGCTCTGTAACCCGAGGTACCACTGTACTTGCAGCTGATGCAGTTCCAACCATTTCATCACCCACTGTTCCTTTTTTAGATTACCATTCTGTTGGCCACACCTGCCTTTTATTTTAACAACTCACCTGGTACATATGGGTGACCAGTAATTCCATGCTGGTGAGCGAGGTGTTGGAGGGATGGACTTTTCCAGTGCTTTTATGTCAGGCTGCTTGATTTCAAAAGCTAGCCACGGAGGAAGGCAAGTTTCTTTTTCTTCAGTAAAACACATTAAAAACTTTCCCCCTCCATAACCAGCATGGGAATGCAATTAAATGTTGTTGTTGTTGTTGTTAACAGAAGAGTAACTTTTGCAGGCATATTGACAAGGCAGCCAACTTTGCAACAATGAATATACTTTTAAATCAGGTAAACAGGATTAAAGAGTCGGATGACTCTATTGTGATATGTGTGGCATTTTTCCTATGCAGAATTAAGAGTGCTTAAGCCTTTTGAAATTGATAGACTCAATTGCATGTAAGCCTAAGTCTGCATTGGGTCAAGCAGAGCAACATGAGATTGGAAGGGTAGATCTGTGAAAATGGAACTTTTTGGAATGTGGTATTAAGAGTTAACAAACTTCTAAGTTTGTGCCTTTTGGCGTTGTGAGGGCAGGAAAGGAACTTTTATAACAGAGCTGTTGCTTGCCAATCACTCCTTTACAAGCATATACTGCTGTAAGAAGCCAGTGAAATTGAGTGTATTGCCTGTGTGTTTGGCAAAGAGTGGAGGTGACCAGAAAGTAACAGGATTTGTAGATTGTGTTGTAGTTGCTGTACTTCTAGTAATTTTCTGAGTTCTGCATATGAATTAATGCTGTCACGCTTAAATTGTTGTGAAGAGACTTCAGTGCACTCGAATACCCTGCCTCTTCTGGAACCCCTACATGGGTTCTATGTAGGTTTGCTCAAAAGTAAGCCCCAGTGAATTCACCAAGCTTGTTCTACACTAAACCTGTGTGAAGTTGTAGCCTAAACTTGCATGAAAAGAAAAGTGGCAGAAGTTTTGCAGGGAATCTGTCATTGGGGATAAAATGTGCTGGTTATTTTTCTTCTTTCGGCTCCCTGCTGAAAATGGGGTTTGCAGGCACCATCAGTCACTTGGTTATCATGTTTTCAAAGTCCTGTGTGGTTTCAAACTGTATCAGCTAAAGTCATGGTGATATCAGGTGATAGGAAGCTCTGCTGAACTGTCAGAATGGCCTACATGGGTTATGGAACTTAAGCACCCACCTGCTGGCTAGGAAGGGTCCCCCACACCTGACCTATTTTTTAATATTTAATTTTACTTGTATTTAGTAAACAAAGCTAAAAACTTTGACGTTTTCAAGCTTGCCCAATAAATAACGCATAAATTTTATACATGTGTATATTGTCTGCCTTTCATAGAAAGCCCTTTTGGCTGAAATACATTGGGCTGTCAATAAACATAATCATTCTGAGACGTAATCTTTTTTTAAATGATGGGTTTGTGTGTGTGTGTTTCTTAGTTTATGTTGAATGTCTGAGTACAGTGAAGAAGTTAAAGGGCATACCGAGTTTTACATGTTAAACAGATTATGGCAATAAGACCTCAGCTATTCAGGATCTAGGTTGCATATGATTTAAAAGCTAATGTTTACGGAGGTTAGCCTTACTTTTAATGCAGGCACCTCTGATCATCTTGAGGCTTCACACCCAAAGTTGGTACCATGTTTCTGGAAAAGCCCAAAGCCAAGCTTGTTGAGCACTAAGCATGCACGGGATCTGCTTTCCTTGCATGCAGTTGTTGCATCCTGGGGAGCAATAGACAAACTGTAAGCTTTGCAAAAACAACACTGTGTTGTAATTAGAAAGCCTGGACTTTAACCAAATAGCTCAGCTATGAAAGACATGACTGCAGCACAGTTGTCTTGTAAACTAGATTGAATTGATCTCTATTGTAACATGATGAAATTCTGCCAGGAAATAAGTGACCTTACTGATTTTAATAATAATATCTTGACTTTCTGTTCAAAAGCTACATTATTGCAGTGCTGCATAATGCTAATATAATCTGAGATAATCCCCTTTTGCTATATTCCAACTAATCCTGAGGCAATCTGTTAAACACTTACTTGAATAACACTACTTAGAAAATGGAGAATCTTAGAAGCCTAGCAGCTTCCTTGCTCTATAAGTTTATGCAGCAAGTTGTTGCCTGTACTACATGTTTTTGGTAAATGTGCGGTATTTATTTAATTTTTGATACTACAAAAAAGTGACATGAAATAAAAGTTCACATTCCATGTCAGCCTGGAGGCATAAAAGGACTTTCATTGCTACTTGATTTTAGATAGATTGATCAAAGTGATTGAATGTGTTTGTGCGTACAGATTTAACTCTCCCCCCTTTTTTTTTTTGGGCAGGCTTTCAAGGAGATGCTGTATGCTGCTCAGGACCAGGCCCCTTCTATAGAAGGTAAGTGAGCCAATTCTTCCCTTAGCATTTGGAATTGGAGCCCCCATACATCACATTTTTGAACAAAGCTGTTTCAAAGTGGCTGCATAATAAGTCAGAGGCTAAAGTACATCTGTGTTCTTGCATAATCTTAAAATTTCTATCATCTTCCTGTTTTGTTTTCAAAATCCAATTCAGTCTGGTTATTGCTCATTTGCATAGGGAAAAAGTGGGGGGGGGGAAGAGTTGCCAAGAGTAAAAATGAAGAAAGGGAGGTAGTTAGAGCTCTGTGTGATCACTGAATAGTAGTCAAAACATTCCAGGAAAACTTCTCCTATTTTCATTTGGAAGTGTATTAGATATGCTGTTAGATGTTTCACAACCCGGGCATGCTTCTAGCCACTCTGCAATTATCGGAAAGCCTAGGATTTCTATTTTGATAGAATGAGTGTAGTCCCTTAATTCCTCCCTCCAAAAAAAAAAAAAAAAAAAAAAAGTTGATTCCAAATTATTATGAGATAGCACAAGATTAATTTTGGCACCCCCATTGCAGTAACCAAAGATACTCTGTGTTGTGGCTTAATTTAAAGTGGGTTGCAAAAGCACCACTATGACCATGCAAATGAATAAATAAAAAGAAATGGAGCCCCAAATGCATGTTTGGGTTAAAGATGCTTCTGGGTCTAAAAAGGTCGAAGACTGCTAATGGAAAACATTCTTTTGATGTAGCCTGTGCCATCTGTAATTTGTTGCAAGCAAAGAGTCAAAGCTCTCAATCTCCGTATTATGCAGCAAAATGAGATAGGTAACCATATGGTGAATAAACTGTTTTTAAAAATGCATTCTAACAGCCAATTGGAAAATTTCCAAAATGGAATGAGCCATTAGGTGTATCTGTAGATCAGGGTTGGATAACCTCTGGTTTGGGGGCAGAATATGGACCTCAAGATTGCTCTATCCGGCTCCTGGAACTCCACCCCAGAGGGGTGTATGAGGGTAAAATACCCCCCGTTTTTCTGGGAACACACCTGCTAAACTTGTAAATTACAGACTTTCCTCTTCAAAGTGATTCCCTGCCCCCCCCCCAAATTAAAACCTGCCATCTTCATTCAGTATATTAAAGGGGCAGTGAGTTGTCGGTAACATTGCTAAATAGAACTTAAGCACTGTCCAGTGTCACTGGGTTAGTCAGTGGCAAACGGAGTATTGCATTTTAAAGCTCTAAGCAGCATGATCTGCTGTTCTAAACTCTTTCTGTTAAAGGGCAGTCACAATGAGTTTTGCTCTTCCAGAAATAGAACTGCAGTTATTTGAACAAAGGGAACAATAAATCTGATGGTGATGCACCTAACCTGGTGTCTTGTGGTGTCCCCCCCGCCCCCCCGGAAAATAAAAATGATAGTTTTTTCCCTGCCGTTGCTCTCTGTGCTGGCTATGGATTCACCAAATGCTGCATCTGACTGGACATCTAATGTTTTAGTTTCAGTCTTTAGGAACATTTGTTTATCTCAGTAGCAGGGCTCATCTCTCAATTGCATCTTCCTCCGTTGGCCGTCTTTATTTGTGTGAAAAACTAGGAGTTACTTGATTAGATCAGTGTTTCCCAACCTTTTTTGGGCAAAGGCACACTTGTTTCATGAAAAAAATCTCGAGGCACACCACCATGCCAGATGGGGAAAGGTCACTTTTTACTTATGTAAAAAAAAATAAAAAAATAGTAACAGCATAGAAGGTAGAGAAGGTAGGACTCGAACCAGTGGATTCACGTTACAATAAAGATTTTGACTAAACATGGGAAAGAACTTTCTGCTGGTAAGGGCTGTTCAACAGGGGAATGGTCTCCCTCGGGAGGTTTTTCCCTTCTTGGAGGTTTTTAAGCAGAGGTGGGATGTCTGTCTGCCATGGATGCTATGGCTGAGATTCCTGCACTGCAGGGGTTGTACAGTACTGGATAGCCCTGGGGATCCCTTCCAACTCTACGATTCTATTAGGATCCCTTTTATAAAAGAGAGAACTTTAATGGCACGGCCATTATTTATTTCGGCTTCTCCCAACGGGGCCACGAAGGATCAGAAAAGCTGAAGAAGAGACCCTTCCTCAGAGGAGGCGGGAGACCACCGGACCCGCCGAGGAGGGGAATCCGGCCGCCTTTCCCTCCAGAGCTTCGCCTTTTGCCCCGGCCAAGTTGCGCCGAGGGCGCCTTGCGGGCTCTGCGTGGCTTCAGGCGGAGCCTAGGAGCCACTTCCCAGCCTGGAGGGCAGGCTGTGCGCGGACCCCGCCACTCTCGGGGCGCGACCCAGACCCGGCTGCCTTCCACGGCCAGCAGAGGTAGGCCGCCGGCTTCTAACCCGGCGGAACTGGGGCGTCCCGGGCGCAGCGCCACGCTCCCCGCTCCTCCCGCCCCGCCCCCTTCTCCTGGGTGCCCCCTCCCTCCTTTGTTCTCCGGAGCCCCGCCTCCCCCTCTGCCCCAGCTCGCCTATTGGCTCACGCAGCCGCCACTCAGGTGGGGGCCCGCTTTGGCCCCGCTCCCCGGCCGCCGAGAGAGAGTGGGAGCGTGCGGGGCGGGGCTGGGCGGCCGGGCGTCTCCTTCCCTGCGCTGCTTCGGCCGCGTCTGCAGCCGCCGCGGGACCAGGCGGGAGGCCAGTCATGCCCAGACACTGCCAGCCGCTCGGAAGGAGCCGTCGCTCCGCCGGGCAGCGCCTGCCTGCGCGCCCCTCGCCCCCTGCGCCGAGGATGGCGGGGGCGCCGGGCGCAAGGCAGCGCCGGGGCTGCTGGGCAAGCGGCAGATGCTGATGCAGTTTGGGGAATTCCTGTCACAGGGAGCAAGGCAGAAGCGGATGACGGGGCACGTTCCCCGGGGGAGCGGGGCCGGAGGATTAGCCCGACTCGCCCGCCTCCCTCCCACGGCACACTAGGCAACGTCCGGCGGCACACTAGTGTGCCGCGGAACACCGGTTGGGAAACACTGGATTAGATAAACTACTGCTCTCCCCTCCCCAGCTCTGCTCTAATACTGGTGTTAAAATTCAAAGCTATCTTTTGACTCTGCAATTGTTTAATCTCTTTTGTTTCTCTTGCCGCAAATTGGTGGTCAAAAAATTCCAGTGCTGCTTTATGCAGGTGGTATAATTCTTCTTTCATTGTCCCAGGAGCTATGAGAAACAGAAAGGTTTTTCATACAATAAGGCACAAGTGTTTCCTGTAATAAGGTGTTGCACACATTGTTAGTTGACCACACACAACTTTCTGCAAGAAATCCTTTGGGCATAACCAGTTGAATTCATGACATCCTTCTGCCCGATCACTTTTGTAGCAGTCAGGTGATGCTGTCAACAAGGATATGAAAGAAATCAAACATGATTTTGTTTTAAAGAAAAAGAAGGTAAAGAGATACAAAAGTAGCTTAACTTTCCTAAACTTTTTTGTCTTTATATCATCAAACTACTACAATTTACCTCCACATGTTGACTACCTAACATCCCATATGGCCTCTGATGCCCATAGCAGATGAACATAGATTCAGAGGTACTTATTTGAAGCTTGAAAACTTGCTGGTGTCCCATGGCTCTTCTCAGCTTCATCTTCTTAGAATGCCTGACTATTTTTGTTTTATAAAGTCAACATATGACTTAAATGAGTGTAGTGGCTTTCCTTTGGGAACGAACTTCAAAAAAAGGGTGTGGCAGTGTTTATTGCCTTGGGTCAAGAGAAGGGTTAGGGGTCAGTGGGAAGTGTTACAACAAAGGAATGGAATCTCATTAGTGCAGAGCAAATTGTATTTTTGCCCCTAAGAAAGACTGGTTACTGGACACTGCCTGATTCTCTTTACTTGGTTAGCAGATATGTGTTTAACTCCCCAAGCTTCTTGGAATTCAGCTCTTTTCTGTGGCAGTGAAGTGAAATGTCTGTAAATTATTCATTCTGATTATGTGCCTGAATGGCCAGGGTCCACACTTGATATTTTCCAAGGATCTTTGTTCTAAAGAGTTCATGCTGAATGTTTTAAAATTGGCATTAAGGGTGGGAGGGGTGGGGGAGATAACTCACTGTCCTTTGGGATTTGTGACCAGAACCAGCACATCTGACAGCATTCTCTTTGTAGTCCATATAAACAACAATTTTGATTATGCTTGGTATTTTTTCTGTTCGTTCATGCATAATTGTTTGCATTAAGCAGATATTTCCCCCTTGCAGTTAAAAGATCTTGATGATTAAATGTGAATGACTAGCCCCAGAAGAGACTGACTCAAAGAAACAGTATGTAAATATGCCCCCAGACAACCAGAAGGAGTGGGGCAATGGAGGGAATGAGACGAAGACAAAGGAAATTGTCTATAAAAAGTATATGAGATGACTGTACTGGGAAGAGAAGTCAGTGATACGTATACATGTTGTCTGAGTCGGCACCATTTCCATTAGCAAAAGCTTTTTTTAAAAAAAATAGCATGCAGTGTGCTCTTAACTTGGAGGTAGAATGTTAAAGCACGCTTGTAAATACGCCTACAAAAGTGATTAGCTGGCAGGGTTTTTTTTTAGAAAAAAATAAGCCCTGGTTTCTTACCTTCATGGCAGCATGAAAATGCAGGATGTTGGTCTCCTAACAAGCTAGTTTTTTTTTGTTTTTGTTTTTTAATTCTACCAAGTGGGCTGGCAGAGGAGGACTGGGTACCTCATCTACCAGCCTGTCTACTTGTCTGGATGGAATTCCTTGTTGCCTGTGACTAGTAGGCAAGTTAATTGCAACACTACTGATTTGGATGGCCTTAAGCAGACTGAAGTGTGATGGATTCTTCTTAGGTTTGTTTTTTGATTGATTAAAGCAAATGCTGTCATCTTCTTGTGATTTCAATCCCCCTTCAGTTAAAAATCCTGGGAACTAAGCATACTGTTCGCTTTGATTGTGATGGTATGCAGGTAATGAGAAAACGTGAGTGGTAATTCTGCACTTTTGTGGCAAGCTTTTTCAGAGATTTCTCTGTGCAGGAGCATGAAACACTTCCTTCAGGAAGCAGATTTGAGAA